CTATTAACTACCACTGCTGAATTTTTTTACCATATATCCCAATATTTCTGTGCCTCCTTACCCTCCCAAAGACAGATAAATGAAGAAGAGAGACAAAAAAGGAAAACAAAAACAACAAAAAAGGAAAAATATCCTCTTGTTTCCATTTCTATAACTATTATTTTATATTATCAGATGCACATAACTATTGCACCTATGATTTCCTCTTGTGAGAATATCCTTCTTTGGTCTCACTCTGAATGAATGTCTAGAAACCTGTGTAATTCATTTATCATATCAGTCACAGTGTATTCTCTTTGTATATGTGTGTAGATTTGTAGATTTGAAGGCACATTCTATTTAGCACAAATGAGGAAAACCATGCAATCTATGTTTCTTTGGGTCTAGCTTGCTTCATTTAATATAATTTTTTCCAAGTCTTTCCATTTCCTTAGGAAGGATACAATATCTAAGACTCACTAATTCTACTTCTAGGCGTTTTCCAATAGAACACAAAGAAGGCCACACTAAACTTAACAACACAGTATGTTGATTGCTGCATATTTTTACCAGAGGAAAGATGTGTAATCAACCCAGATTCTCCTTAGTGGATGAATGGACAAAGACAATGTGCTATCTATGCACAGTGGAATTCTACTCATCCATCGGAAACATTTTATTTAATAGTTATCATAAAAAGAAAAACATACCTTGACAATTATATCTGCATATCTGCATATGTTAATTTTTATATCTACTAATAAATATAATGCAACAAATTGTAAAAAATAGAATCTATGAACATAAATAACTACATAATTATTTCCATTGAAAAATAACAGGAATTAAACTAATATCTCTTTATATTCCTTCAACTCTTTAAAAGAGTGCTGATTGTCTGTGCAGAATATTATCACTTATAACAATATACATTTACTACAATATACAATATGAGGGTAGCAAGGTATTTTGTGTTATGCTATTGGCTCATGCCTACAATCTTAGCTACTCAGGAGGCTGTGATCTAAGAATCACTGTAGAAACCATCCACATAGGAAAGTCTATGAGATTTTTAACTTCAATTAACCAACAAAAAGCCAGAATTGGAGTTGCGGCTCAAGTGGTAGAGAACTATCTTTGACGAAAAAGATTAGGGAGAGCACCTAGTCTCTGAGTGCCAGCCCCAGAAGCAGGACGCCCCCCGCCCACAAAAAAAGAAACTATTTTGTGTTAAAAGTACTAATAGATGTATTTTTAAGAGATTACCAATCCTAAACATAGAAAATATGACAAAATTAAAGGTTTCTTTTCTCAGCACAGCTGCTTTTTATTAAAAGTAAACAAGCAACCAGTTTGCTTCTGAGCGGTTCTAGGTAGCAATATTATGTTATATAAAGAAGCTAGCAACTCTAGATATCTACTAAGGAATTTCATGTGATTTTTTTAAATTTAATTTTATTGTCAAGGCGATGTACAGAGGGGTTTAAAGTTACGTAAGATCTTTCCTTTTTTTGGGGGGGGGGTCTGGTCGTGGGGCCTGAACTCTGGGCCTGGGCGCTGTCCCTCAGCTCTTCAGCTCAAGGCTAGTGCTCTACCACTTGAGCCACAGCGCCACTTCCAGCTTTTTTGTTTTTGCTTATGTGGTGCTGAAGAATCGAACCCAGGGCCTCAGGCATGCAAGGCAAGCGCTCTACCACTGAGCCGCCTTTCCAGCCCCTATAAGAACTTTCTGAAAGACAAAAATACCAGTATCATTGGATAATCAATCCCACTCAATTGCTAACTGCAAACCAAACTTGAAAGTGATTGTTTTATTTCTATTATGAATCAATAAAAAAGCTAACTTTTTGTTTGCATCAATTTTTTTGTCTGTGGCTTGTGCCAGGATATTTGAAGTTATTGGAAAAATCTTAGAGACTCATATCTCCAATTAACCAACAAAAAGTCAGATTAGAGGTGTTGCTTAGGTTGTAGATTTGCAACCATAAGAAAATTGTCACTGAAAGTGTGGAGCTTTGAGTTCATATCCTAATATTAGTATATGTGTATGTATCTATATCTATACATATATCCATATCTGTATTTGTGATATATATATATATATATATTATGATTATATTTTGCCTGAACAAGTAACTAGCAAGCCCTTTGTAAACACCAAAGTAAAGTTTACCCTTGTTAAATATTTTCATCATATTTGGTTCAAAATTTTATTACAAACTTAATTTGGGTAAGAAAATTCTTATTTTATGACAAAAGTAGCAAAAGGATAATGATACTCTGTGATGAAAATTCTCTAGGTTTGGCTCTGTAGAAGATTCTGTACTAGAATAAAACAAGTTATTCATACTTGCCAGACTCATGTAAGTATATTAACCAGATAATAATTATATTTAATTAATGTAGTGTACATAAAATAGTTGATGATTATAGCTTGGTCAAATACTACTAATTTATGACAGAAGTGACAAGGATTTTAATGTAACCCTAGCACACATTATTTTAAGTTACCTCTGATCACCAGAGAGAAATGCATGGGACAGTTTGCTAGCTTTGGTCTCCATGCAACAATGAGCAGGAGAATTCTGCATTCTATTCAGCTTTGTCAAAACCTTTAATTATACCAATTCCTAACAAACAATTAGTTTCGAAATCCACAGAAAAAAATTCATATGCATCATAATTTGAAAGGTATTACATTCTGTGTTTTTTATTGTAAAGGTGTTGTACAGAGGGGTGACAGTTACTCATCATTTAATGAGTACATTTCTTTTGAACAGTGTCTCCTCTTCCCTTGTTTTCTCCCAAATATTTTACCACTTAATCTCCTATCCCTACAAGCTGTATAGTTCATTTTCAACATAGTGTCTACTGAGTATCACTGCTGCATTTGTTTCCCCTTTGTTCCACCATTTCTGTTTTTTTTTTTAGAAACAAGCAAGTACTAGCAGATAGACATTTGTAGATATAGATAATAACTAGGTCTATGTATCTACCACTACACATATTTTTAAATTATGAATGAAAAAATAACTTTAATAAATATACCTCCATTTTTTTGTCAAAATCTCCCAAGGTTTCATTATAGGCACGTATTGTTTGTTCAATCCCAAAGTGCACAGAAAATTGAAAGAAATACTGAAGTAACTATTAGGTGATTCCTTCAGCAATGATGAAGTAAACTTTCCAAAAAAGTTGTTATTAAGGTGATATACAGCGGGATTACTATTAATAAGTCAGGTAATGAGTACAGTTCTTTTTGGGCAATGCCATCATGTTCTTCCCTCTTTCCAGGATTCAAAAAACTTAAAACGATTTTACTTGAGTTCCAAGTTGACCAAAACCATGCTATGTAAAGGTAAATCATGTGTTTGAGGAACATGTTTCAAATTTCAGGATCCTTTCAGCATCTCTGAAGGTCACATATTGCCCCTTCAATGCTAATACTTTGCAAATAGTAATTGTTCAATATGTCCAATGAATTTAAACAAATTCATTTAATCTCTTGAATTTAAGAGTTGTAAACAATATAAGACTTGCTACAAAATACATCTTTCACTGAAATACCACTAAGCATGAGCACAAGTCCTAGAAATGTTGAAGGGAGGAGATCACAGGCTTCTTAGTATGTTTAATAGTTTAATAATTTCGATGTGAACATACAAATCATTTAAATAGGGATACAGGTGGACCCATTGCAACAATGAGAAGTACAAGTCGTTATGTCGAAAACGAACTTTACAACTTTGGTGGGGGGGAGGGTTGGGGAGGGAGGGTTGGGGGGGAAGGATGGGATGGGAAGGGGAAACAAAGGAGAAGGCTACAATGCTTGATAAGAAATGTACTCATTATCTTGCCCATGTAATTGTAACCCCTCTGTATAGTATTTTCACAATAAAAAAAGAAATATAAAACGTAGACATAATATGTTCCATTTCTACTTCTACAAACATGAAAATTAATTACTGGAACTGTCCATTTTCTGAAAAATTTTTGTTCATAAAGCCATTACCTTACTTTACCTGAAAGCAAAGCTTTACATTTGGCTGGCATTCAAAAAATCTGGAGCAGTTCTTCATTACTTCCATATTAATTATGACAATAACATTCTTGGTAACAACACCGTTGCACTTTAGCCTCAGTTTCTTTCTTGCTTCTCCTGTGGTAAATCAGTCTGTAAATCACCTGTCTGTGATACGGCCTGAATACTTACCTCAATAATGGAAGAATGCAAAATCTGACCACATACAAATCCTGAGATATATATATATATATATATATATATATATATATATATATATATACAATATTGAGAGAAAATAATTCCATTTCCTGAATATTGATGCTTTTCTTCTCAAAATATAAAGTGTTTTAGATTTAAGTTCCATTTCATAAAGATACGTTATATATGCCATCTTATTTATAAGAGGTTTTCCTTACAGTTCAGGCTATATTCTTCCTTCTCCTGTAGAAACTGAATAGGTGTTGATGAATAAAGAATCCAAAGACATTGGCTCCAGGCTAAATGAGATCAATCTCATTACACAATATTGTTGAGAAATCAGAGGGCAGCTATTACATGTGACATAGAGTAGGTAAAAGGTTAAGCACATATTGTAATTTTTAAATGAAATTATTTCAAATTAAAGTACATTCATAAGAGGGTATGTGCAGCTATGAATACAAAAATTATGGGAAATTTGTGCTTTAATTCATACTGAACTTTCAAGATGGAATAAAGAGTATTTTTAGCTAATTCAAACTAACACATGAACTCAATCACAACTTTCTTGCTAGAAAATAAATTTTGTTGCTTCTACTCCATATGTAGTTTTTTTTTGTCTATTTGAATAGGATTCTGAGAATTAGACCCAGGGTATAACTAATTTGTAGCAAGTGCTCTACTTTGGAGGTATTACTCAACTTCTCTATATAGTTTTCCTTTTTGCTTTTACATCAACTTTATTCTCAGAGCAACCTGTGTGAATTAACAAGCCCTCACATTGCCAGCTTATAGGAATCATACTGCTTCTTACATGTGCCAAAATCACATATCAGCAACGAGTTCTGGGTTGCAAAAGAGGATTTACTGTTTGCACCTGTCTGTAAGGCTTTATCACAAATTAAGCAAACACACACACACCAAGTGCTCCTCTATATAGTTTTGGAGGATATAAAATAAACATGATTTTATCAAAATGGGATTGCAAAATAATATTTTAAAAAATCACAAGCAATAATAAATAGGTGAACATATTAAGACTTTAGAAGAATCAGTATGTTCACTAAGTTGCTAAATGGTATAGAATGATCTGGGTAAGCTAGTTCTAAGAGATCATGGAAATATTCTCATGTAAATTATTCAGATTTCTTGATAATATTGACTAATTTTTGTTTACCACATTCAATAGAAATTAATCAGTTTGTGAATAAGTGTGAATATGTGATTATATCAATATGTAATAACATTTATTCTGAATTTATGAAATGCAATACAATATATGTCATATCACATATTTAACTATAAGATATAATATTGTGATAAAATATGTGAAAACCTAATGGATTGCATTTCATTATGTAGTATTTCAGAGAATTATATATTGAGGAAAACTTAATTGTGGAGTTGTTGTTTGCTGATAAAATGAAAGCATTTATATGCTTTTTCAAAAATTCTCGTTGGGAATGGCATCTTACCTCTTATCTTTTTGTTTGCATTCAAATCATTGAATCACACCTGTTGTAGCACCTGGCATCATTTCTTTACAAACTATAACTACCTATCATATTTAAACAAGCAAAATAAATGATTTATTAACATGATGAAATCCTGTTCAGTATCTAGATTCATCATAAAATTATAGGTATTTCAATACAAATTTGATGGTATATGACGAAAGGTTTAAAGAGCATGAGCTCTTTTCTTGATGCTAAGAAAGAATAACTATCCAGGTGTGGTGATATTTCCAGTTAATATTTTTACATAGGTAATTGAAGGCTTCTCAAATTTTTACAAAAATTTAATCATATGTTAGGTTACAAATACCTAGTCTAAATATGTCCTCAAGGAATTTTTTTAAAGTTAGTTTGAATGTGAACTAGTGTTCAACTAGTGTGCAAACTGAAGACTGACATCTGGGCCTTATTTATCACCATATTTTTTTAAGTTTATCAAACTCTTCTCTATCCAAGACAGGCTTTGATAGATAAACCTCTTGTATAACAAACCAGTTATTCATTCATATCAAGTAACAGGTACTTTGTTCTCTTCATATGTGTTTATTTCCATTTTATAAGCTGTATCTTCTACTTCTTGTCTTGCATAATGAAAATGCATAGTACAAGATATCACTTTTAAAAAAGATTTCACTTTCCAGTTAATGTATAAGTCACTACAAAAGGAGAAAATATTAGTCTGGGCTAAGCATTATTACATATAGTTTTAAACAGATTCTGATCGATGATACTTTGTCTTAACATACATTTTGATCATTCTCTTAAAAATTGAGTCTATGTTTGTTGGACTGGCTAAAAACCATATTGTGTCCAATGGACAAAATTCCTCAAGCTTTCTGAGGACAGCATCGGTGTCTAACAGCAGTCACACAGCAGAATGAATTCAAGCAGTTTGTTCTAAATAATAGAATTAGACCCACTAAAATTTGAAGCATTTCTAAATGACAAAGATCCTAGTTCTTCAGTGTAATGCTGAAAAGATCAGTCAGTTCATCAGGACTTTATCTTTCTTGGTATAAGCTTCAGACTGACGGAGGAGCTCCATGGTATGGCGAGTACTTAGCACCTAGGAGGCTGTCCATCAATCCCTTGTGCATGCATGCACATACACACAGACACATACACACATACACACAAAACCAGAGTGTTAATTATTTCCTCTAAAATATCATGAAAACATTTAGCAAATAATTTATATATGTACATAACCATACGTGCATATGTTTTTTTATTTAAATTTGTAATATTAGTTAGCTAGATACTAATACAACTATATTATGTAGGTTAGGTTAGGTTAAGTTTGAAATTAAAACCAGGAGATAAAACAAACGCTCAGTTCTGCTCATGGAATGTAGTCATGACTGGAAGTTTTACTCATATAATCTACTATAGAAAATATTACTGAAAACTGCATGAATTCCCTAAACACAAACTATTATGTAGATGATCCATTTGACTCTAAATTAGAAATCTACTGACAATTAAATACAAAAGAATTCTACTTATAGATCTACTGTAAATATATTAGAAAAGGGAAATAGACACAGCTCTATCCTTTGCTTCAGTTTTGCTGAAAGGAAGTTGTGTTATATGGATTCCAAGATAAGATTTTGAAGATAAGTGTTGTTTTTTCTTTAATTCTTTTGCTTTTTTATTATCTTCAAAGAGTTTTATTTAAATGTACACATTTACCTGCACTGCCATTTTGTCAAGGTTTTTTGAAACAATTTATATTCATTTTATATTCATTTATATTTCATATTCATTATCATTATTTAATCCCTATGGGTTAAAAACAATGGTGTCAATGAATTTAGGAGATACTCCTATTTCAATTAGGAGACACCTTTTTTTTCCACTTTAAGTTTTAAAACATACAATAGCATATTAAATGCCCATTGAAGCCATTCAATAACTTATTGAAATGTACTTCAGAATTACTATGATAGATAAATAATGAATTTAAAATAAATCATTAATATTCTAGTCTCTTTAAGTAGGCGTCTCATCAATTTCTATGAATTTATGATTATTGAGATTTCCAAATCCTGCCCTGAGGTCGTATTTTAAGTATTGCCTCCAGTGAGAAGTAACACTGGACGAATGGGCATATCTTTATTACACCTGAATAGCTTGGAGACTTTTTGGAGATAAGTAAGTGTACAGTTTACAGACCTCCTACATGAAATAAAATAAAATATCCAGAGTGCTATAAAACAGTGAAATGCTATAAGTCTGTGAACCTCTTCCTATTTCTGTTTTATTTATACTGTTTATAAAAGTAAATTACTTGTTTGAAGCACTCCTCTTGAAACCGCCTGGATCTCTATGGGGAAGTACTCCTGTGAATCTGCTTTTTATGGGAAGTGGTTGATCTTTAGCTCCAGGGATGAGATCTGCAAGGTTGAAAAGCTTTCTTTTCTGAGGAGAGTCAATCTGATCTGAGAATACAGAGAGACTCTACTAAGAACCAAACCTGGAGAAAATTACTTCTTTTTAAACTGACTCCCTGAATCCAAATAGTGTATGCAGGGCCACTGCATTTCTGCCAATAGTTGGGTAACATTGTTCTTTATGTTTCAGCCAGCAAGAATTCCAATGATAACACAAAAGGAAGGTTGAAATAAGTTCATTATTGGAGCAAACACTATTTTTCATTTCTTTCTTCTCCATTTCTTTTTCTTTTTTAATTCAAGTTTCAGATTGTTCAAGAAACACAAATTCTGTTTATTGGGGGACATCAGTTTGTTTAGCTTCAGGAAATACTTAATTTTAAATTTTGCAATTAACTTTGCTGTGTGTTTCTCTTATATGATGAAAGTACATACTGTGTTATCTAATTATCATTTATTTAGATATCAGAAACAAATGACAAATTTTCTGTTGGCTAAAAGGAGGTTACTTTGGAGGTTTAATCACATTGAATTTTTTTTTTAGCTTTCTTAATTTTTTTTAGCTTTGTTGAAATATCATTTAGAGAATCTGGTGAGAACTCTAAATTTTCTGATTAGGACCAAAAGGTGCTTGCACTCCAATTTAATGTGATACTAATAAGAAATCATAAGAGAAGAGAGAAAGGGGCGATAGTTAATAACCTTGTTCACTCTCTTCTCTTTTGTGCTTCATCAATTTTTCTTACAGATATGGGATAAAATTGTAGTAAATAATAATGGTAATTACTATCAATAGTCAGATGAACACATAGATACATAGATACATATAGATAGGTAATAAATTGTCAAATATTTTCTTAATGTTGGGGATAGTGATGAGATCTTGAGAATCAAATCCAGAGCTTGGCATGTGCCAGCAAAACTCTCTGCCATTGAGTGATACATCTCCACTTATAAATTTGCCTTTTATACTTAACTGCTTTACAGTCTCATCCTTCTACCCAATTCTTCATAACATTCTTGTAATTGTGATTGTAGCCCACTTATAGTGATTTTATTAGTGGATTTTAATATGTGAACTATTCTTCAAGTTCTTTTCTACAAAATAGTCATTTTTGGCATTTTACTAAAATACATTTATCATTCTAGTCACCTCTAAAAACTTTTTCCTAGAAGTTATTAACCATTATGTCATTAGATTAGATTTATATTCTTACTATTTTCTCCTAAAGATTATAAAAGTTATTCAAAGTTAATTGAAATAATTTTTTCCATGGAATTTTTCTTGACTTAATAGAGTGAATTTTTAAACCTATTTTAGGATTTAAAATGGATATTTTGTTTGCAACTGTACCCTTCAGATAATGAGATAACTTATTGGTGGATAACATACTGGTTTATAACTTATTGTGAATTTAATTAAGTCACAAGAGTCTATTCATTGATGATAATTACAGGAAAGCTGATAATATTCATAAATCATAGAATAAGTCATATTCTTGCCATTCTAAATTAGCATTAATTATTTCAGATTAATAAAATAACAAAAAATACATTAAAAGTTTACTATTCTTTTTACAGTGTTTAGACTTTTTCCTTTATTTCCTTCCTTCCTTCCTTCCTCCCTCCCTTCCTTTCTTCTTTCTTCCCTATCCTTCCTTCTTCCCTCCCTCAACTTCCTCTCTCTTCTTTCTTTCTTTCTTTCTTTCTTTCTTTCTTTCTTTCTTTCTTTCTTTCTTTCTTTCTTTCTTTCTTTCTTTCTTTCTTTCTTTCTTTCTTTCTTTCTTTCTCTTTTCTTTCTTTCTTTCTTTCTTCCTCCCCCTCCCTCTCCCTCTCTCTCTCTCCCTCTCTCCCCTCTCCCTCTTTCTTTGTGTAAGAGATGTAACCTAGGGCCTAGTATATTCTAAGATTGTTTTTATTACTGACCTACATCCAATCTTGTTATATATTTTATTGCTTTGTGTATTTGAAACTATTTTTTATGCATCTCAGGTTTGTCTACAACTTGAGACCCTCTGACCT